CACACCCCACAGTCACATATCCTAAATGTACACTGCCCAATACATCCCACAGTCACATATCCTAAATGTACACCATCAAACACACCCCACAGTCACATATCCTAAATGTACACTGCCCAATACATCCCACAGTCACATATCCTAAATGTACACCATCAAACACACCCCACAGTTACATATCCTAAATGTACCACTGCCCAATACATCCCACAGTTACATATCCTAAATGTACACTGCCAAACACACCCCATAGTCACATATCCTAAATGTACACTGCCAAACACACCCCACAGTTTGCCCTATTGTACACTGCAACATACACCCCCCAGTTGCACAACCTAAATATACATTGCCCAAGGTGACACATCCTAAATGGACACTGCTACCAACACCCCACAGTTACACAAGCTCGCTGGATACAGCCAAATCCAGTGACACAGCCTCATGGGTGCCACCAAACACACTCCACAGTTCACAGCCCCATGGAACACAGTGCTGACCCTCCACACGCTGCCTCGCTCTGCTTTAGCCATCTCTTTACTCAGCTTCCTGTACTCGCCACCGCGGACATTCCAAGAGAGAACCTCCTTCCCCAAGCAGTTCTGGGGCCTCAGCACCACCTGCCACCATTGAAACCCTGGGGCACAAATTCACCCAGGAGCTGTGCTGGTCTGGGTCCCTGCAGAGACCACAGAAGCTTTTGTTCCCAAAAAACCAAGGGTTTAGTGGAACAGTTCCTCCATCTGGTACTTGAGGAGCAGACCAGCTCCTCATTCCTCAAGCTGTCGCTCTGGGATGCAAGTTATTCCCAGACATCCCTGCTGCAACTTAAAGACTAACACACTGGAATGGGCTGGAAAGAGTGAAAAAAAACCAAAAAGAGTGTTTGAGTCGTTTCAAGTTGTGCAGCCAACTGGCAGCAAAAGACAGAAATCAAAAACGGTCCCTTTTTGTTTGTTTGTTTTCTCTTTTCAGTTTTATGTTTTATTGTTTTTGGTTGGGTGGATCCCGCATGAGGAAAGATTCAAAGGGAAGAGGCTTGTCTGTGAAGTCTTTGGAGGGATGTTAGCATGGACGAGACAGGCTGTTCCTCATGTGTCAAGTAAAGAGATTCTATAACAAGGGACAGATCCTGCACTGCCCTCCCCAGAGAAGCAACAGAACCCAGAACAACAGGGACCAAGGGTAGCTTTAAAATTAATTTTTTTTTTTTTAAACAGCTTTAAGCCAGATGTAAATTAGAGCCACCACCACGAGGCCAGACCTGAGTGCTCTAAGCAGAAAGGGGACTCATTCTGTGACCAGTGCTCGGTGGCTCCTCTCCACCTTCCCCTGAACTTCTCCTCATCTTTGAAACCACCACCAAGACTTTGACAGAGATGTCCCTGAGGGATGAGGGGGATAGGAGGACACTAAATGGTGCTCAAAAGCCCTTTTGTCCAGCTGATAGCAAATCCTGAGCGTGAGGGAAGCACCCTGTGGGTGTGTAATTCCCAGCAATCACAGGACTGTACACACTGAAATCACAGGCTAACCTTGGTAAGAGCCAAAGCTTCGTTAGCACCCA